AGCTTTCTTAGCAATGCTGATTTCTCGGTTTTCATATGCGTCCCATCACAGTGTGCAAGTGACAGAGGGTAGGTCGTAATTGGGTAGGAGATGATCTTCCGAACGTCTAATTCGGTCTTGTCTGAAGCGACTACCAACATACGTGCAAACATATCTCTCAAGCTTTCCGCGTTTGCCTTGGCTTTCTGCGAGGCTGGTAGCTTTTTCTTCACGTTTTGAGCAGCAAAGTTCTGTATGCGCGTACGCTTCACAGGCTCAAGAAATCGATGGCTGTTTCTGTTCCACTCGTCTTGGAATTTATCTCGTTCTTCTTGACCCCTTTGAAGCGCATTGATTAGATAGGATTCAGTAACCTTTGATGCTATTTGACCAGTTGCAACGTTTACTAAAGCCGTTGGGGCATCATCTCCAAATGGATTGCAAAATTCGTCAATTTTTGCACTCAATTCTGCCATCTGATTGTTATCCTTCCTGATTCTTGAAGGACGGCATTGGGAAGTCGCAGTTTCCCCCTGTTCAAGTCCAACTAATGCTCTTAGTTCGGTGACTGCCGTAGCTCGCTGTGTCATACTCAATGACCAACGTCTCATTGCGCTCTCGGAGTTTCGGAAGGACACTATTCCCTTCATTTTGGATGCTGAATCCCGGTTCACAGTTTGCTCCAAGGAAAGGTCTACAGCAGATCTGCTGTAGTTCTTCTTTGTGCGTCTTATGGAAAACGCACCATTCTCCAATACTTCACGCAGCTCTGGGTCTGCACTCTTCAACTTATGCAAAAAAGTGTTCCCCATCTCGCGTAGTTTGGTCGGTTCAGGGCGAAGTATACCACCAACAGTGTTGGGAATATCTTAATGTAGCCACCAACGTCGTTCATCTTAACGCATCTCTGCAGCTCTCTGTGGAGGCGATTGATCATAAAGATGTAAATGGCCCAGAACTGAGCTGTTGACCCGAGCTTTCCGTCGAGAACCTTCTGGAAGAATTCCTCGTATTTCTGCAGGTGAGCGGTCACAACTGGATCCGTTAGGTGTTCCAATGCTCTTCCGGAATCCACTGGTACTGTGGACATCACTTGTTGGAACAAATCGTGGTCTACTTCAGGTGTTTCAAAGACAAAGCGTTCGTACAACTTCTGCTCCAAAACATTAGCAAGTAATTCGTGGATTCGTGTGCATCTGTTATAGAACTTTCCCTTGATAAACCCCATCATTGAACCTTCTGCCAAGATGTTGGCTTCGGTAAGTATATATTCGATTCCACTGTCATTTATAAATGTACCAACCGCTCCGTAGAACGCCAACTCGATGTGGAAATGGCCCAACATTACCAACAGCTTGTCAAACATGGGAGTTTCGATCGCCTGAATAGAGTAGGCTTTCAGGGCAACTTGCAAATCATAAGTGACTACTGCATATTCTTGGCCTGTTTCGTTCGCAACGTTCATGGTACGAATCATCGTCTCCCTCACGACATCATTATTTGTGGGTGATCTGGATATTGGATCCATGTAGCAAATTCGTTGAAGTGGCAGAGGGTCCTCGATATACTTGCTCATAAATCCTGCATACAATGGAGTGTTGCCTTCCATCAATTTCCAGAACCAGTACAGATCCACAACCTTAAGGTGAACATGGCATTCATCCGATTCTCCGACGGTTGTCCGGGCTGGTGTACTGAGTGCTGAGCCAACGGTATCAGAGGTAGCTGCTGCAGTAGGACTGATAAATTCGGCAGAATGGAGGGATTTCCTGAAAGCTGGTATTTCTCTTTCGTTTCCCACAAAACTCCGTCGATTTCTCTTTTCTCGAAACGCGATTGGATTTGAATTAGCCTGTTCATCATCTTGCAACACATTCTGGTATGTATGACCTACAGTAGCGTGTAACGTTTCTTTTCCATCCAGGGTTTCCACGTTCGCATCATTGTTATCCCAAACACAAGCTGTTGATACGTTTGGATCAAGGCGAATGCCATCTGGTGCGTCGTGCTCGTCGCCCGCAACTGAATAGGCGAACTCAGTTTCGAGGCCTTTGGTCTCACTGTAACTAATACAATGTCCTGTTCTGTTCAGAATCTGTGTAACCAGTTTTGATCCTGTAAGGGATGCTAAACCGAGAGCCAATGCCGTATGTTTCCATGGTTTTACGGTACCACGATTGACGTTGTAAATGGCATCCGATCCCATCGCAGTCATCTTTCGGTCAAGGATATCCTTTTGTGTGCCGTTAAGAATGGGTGTAATACCGCCAAGAAGACTTCTCAAGAACAAGTCTAACTGTTCTGGCATTTCCGGGGCGCATTCCTTCAAAGTTTGCACTGTCGCCGGATTAGGTGTCCTGGTTTTTGGAAGCTTCATAATTTGAGATCTGAGATGTAAAGCGGCCCATCTTAATTTGCTATTTTCTTCGTACCGCTTCGAATCTTCATGAAGGCGACTATGGGCTTCCTCTTCTGGAATATCAGAACTATGGATACAGTTACCTTTTCGCTGGTTTACCAGTGTTATCGTAACTCTATCCTTCAAATGATCTTTTATCTTTCTAGTAAGATTTTGAGCAGTGTAAACCGGTACATCTGATTCTGTCCCACTTTCCCCAATACTGGCGTATTCCTCCTTGTACATGGCAAGTAAATCACTGACGAATATTGTTCGATGCTTTGCCAAAACTTCATCCTGGATAAAGGAAAGTAAAGATGCAAATGCCATTTTGTGACAGGACTGCGATGATGTCGTTTCCATGGGTTTATCTTGTTTGTCGGTATCTCTCAAAAACTGTACACGGCAGGATTTGTTTTACTCTGCTTCTTTTGCAATAAGGTCTACACTACTCCGAACAAGACTCTTTATATGTTCGTTTTTCGAAAACTTTGCCCTATGTTAGAGTGACTCGCAACCGGCAATTGTCGCAACCTTCAGTCTGGGCTCGTCTTTTCCATTTTTCTTTTTTCGACTTTTACTGCAGAAAATGCAAGTCCCTTTCAATATACCTTGCCCATCCGACTTCGGAAACGCACTGGAACGTCTTGTCTCGGTACACCGAATTTTTGTCGCGGATTCATCATCTGGTGCCAGATCTTCTTTCGCACGTTTTACTGCTGTGTAACTCTTGTGGCAGGAAGCGTGATAGCCGATAGATAAGGATTCACGATCACTGCTAGACAAAATTGTTTGTGTAACCCCAAGGTATTTGTCAGATTTCAAATTCTTGCGCAGGGCAGCAACATGCGTTATTGTTGTCCATGTACTGTCACTAAATTTTCTTAGGTGGCCCTTCTCGTCAGAGGAGTCGGTTAAATGGCAGACGTAGCAGCTTAAAATACTCTCGCTTTCGTTGTTCTGCAATATATGGCAACATTTGTGTAACGAAATTGTCAAATTTTAATTAGGTAAAAATTCTGATTACTTTGATTAATATACAGCTTAGTGCTGCTTGGAACATTATAGATACACAATCATTTGGAAGAACTGTTATATGTAGTCTATAGAAGATGAAGATCAAAATGGGAAAATGTGGTCATAGTTGCAGGTTAAAGTTAGGACTGTTCGGTATACCGATATACCGAAAATATCGCTATTAAATCAATATCGGTATATCGATACCGGATATTCAACCATACCGATATACCGAAATTTCCGATAACTGGAATTTTTCGGTATACCGTGTTAAATTTACCAACTATATGGCGAAACCATAACCTTTATTTTACTTCTGAATGGCAATTCAAAGAACTTTCTACTGCAATGATTTAGAATTTCCACTTCAGTGAGATTTTACACTGAGTACGTGTCTTTCGAAACATGTTCGAAACAGCTTCGAAATTATCGTTTTCCCTTTTAGAATTACTCAAAATTTCCTTCAAATTTCCATTAAATAATTTTCTTTTATAATTATCAAAGGAAAACCGGTATACCGATAATATCGGTATAATTTTTTCGGTATACCGATACCGGAAATTTCTCATACCGAACATTCCTAGTTAAAGTTGGTCAATTGTTGGAGAAAATGCTGGAAATTTCCCGGAACATTTTTTACTGTTTGGCTCAATTGTTTGGAAAAGTTGGTCAAAGCAACTCGACAACCCTCCCCCCCCGCCCCAAATGTTAATAGCGAGCTTAAACAAGCGAGGTTTTTGTCAACACGGACGCCAGATTGCCGAGGGGAAACTGGATTAAAAACTGTGTTTGCATCAGTTTGTATTAATCTTTTTACACATATGACAAAACATAAGATTTTTAAATTTTTTGCTTTTTTACACGAGCGCTATGATACAAAATGCATGCAAAATGAGTTATACCAGCGTTCGTGTTGACAAAAACGTCGCTTGCTTAAGCTCACTAATGACTTCGCGACGTCCCTGGAGAAACAAAATTGAAAGTAGACAATTTTCCTTTTATCTGCTGTATAGTTATGTTCATTATGTTCTTATGAAAAAAAATTCGTTGGGAAAGTTGGTGAATCAATTATAAAACTTTCTATCGATAAAATTAATGATTGTCATAATGAGATTTGTTTTTGAGCATTTTTGTGAAATAATTTTTGGGGGAAACATTGGGGAATCCGACTTGGTTTTATGCCATTTTTTTCAACATACCTGTTGATTGACAATACTGGCCGATACACTATTTATTTCTTCGGCCAAAGATTGATTTTCGGTCGAAAGAACGCTTGTTTCTGCTGCATCCATACTTCTAAGACATGATTATGTAAATTTTTCTTCTTTTAATAAAGACGTGTTTCTGTCATTGTGTGCAGTGGCGTAACTACTATGGGCTCAGACCGGGTGAACCCGGGGGCCCGCAACCCAAATGGGGGCCCCCAGGCTTAGGCGATAGGGAAAAAACATTGACCAGGGCCTCTGATATGTTACAATGTCGTTTTATGACCATCAGAATTCTGTAAAATCTCTCCCCAAAGTCCAGGAAATGGCATTTAAGAGAGTCTAGATTCAAAAATTTTCTGGATGACCATGCCCTGGACCCCCTAGAAAACTCGTGCATATACGGCGCTCGACTCGTGCCTTTGGCACTTCTACTAGGGGGGCCTTCAAAAATTTTGAACCGGGGGCCCCTTGATATAACGTTACGCCACTGATTCTGTGTTTCCACATGTTTCTGTGCTTCAACTTCATGTGAAAAAAATCCCACTTTTTTAAAAACTCCTTAGATTTTCTTTGATTATACACGGAAATTATCTAGAAATTTCCAACATTAGTTTAACGTAATTCTGGTGAACCCATCTCCTGCTCAAAATGGTATGGATGTGACCTTTCTTTACCAGCTGATCTAGCTCAATTTTGAGAGTCAGCATTCAAGGACGTCTGGCAAACCCACCCCCCTGATTAAAATGTCTGTCAGTGGTCATTTATGACTCCTGGCACTACGCTGAACATTTTGCACTTACTTTCGTCGGGTTTCCTCGCCAGCTGATCTAGCTCAATTTTGGGGTCAGCATTCAAGAACGTCTGGCGAAGCCACCCCCCTGATGAAATTGTCTGTCAGTGGTCATTTATGGCTCCTGGCACTATGCTGAACATTTTGCACTAAGTTTTGTTGGGTTACATCACCAGCTGATCTAGCTCATTTTGCGACTTAGTTTCTCACTCCCCCCTGACCACATCCACCAGTGTGTGTCCGGCAGACGTCCATTTTCTTAGATCACTAGGTACATAGACCAATGCAGTATGCATAAAAATTGGTAACCTTTTCAGCTAAGCTCACACCTCTGGGCTCCCGGTCTAGTATTTTATCGCCTCTGGCGACACTTATTCGTCATCGGTTGGATATTGAACTGACACAGGGGTAAGGTTCACATTTCAGCTGATGATAGTTATTTCGCTAGAAACTGGTATTTTATCGCATCTGGCGACACGTATTCGTGATCGGTTGAATATTGAACTGACACAGGGGTAAAGTTCACATTTCATCTGATCATATTTATTTCAGTAGAGGCTTGTATATAGTATATAGTCAACTAGGTAATTGATAGTACTGCTATTATGTCACCAGTGCAAGTTCATTGCTTTTGACTGACAATAGCATGTGCAGTGAAACTGACATAGATTGAGGTTTTCGTAACATGTGGTATCAGTATATGTAGATATTTTTCACGATCATCTGCAAACGATTTGTCATGTTGGGGTGGGGTGTGTCTCCTTTATCCCAAGGAGACTTGTGGCGTTAGTAATGCCCCCACCTTTTCTGTGCTAAATGTTATATAGTTATTAATTAATCATTTTTCTTGTTAATTATTAAAAATTGATTAAAACAATAAAGCGGCTATGTGCCAACAACCGGGCACATAAGCCATAATTATGCCATAAAGGCTTTGACTGGTCTCGTAGTATTCGGCAGCACAGAAAACCGAGCTCAACCTGACAAACAGTTTGCCGATGGTGCTTTAATATATGTAGGGAAGCGATAAAAAATTAAATGTTTCAACACAAAGTAAAACCTTTAATACTCTAAAATCACTGTGGAAAATTTGATATCATTCTGATAAATTCTACTTGCATTAGAAGCTTGTGAATCTTGGCTAAATAGCAGAAATTTGATAAAAAATTACGAAACACTGGGACCGAGTTTTGAATTGCACGCTGGTGGTGATGACGTAGGCGTATGGACATGGCATGTGTTCATGAGTCTATGTTCATATAAACAAGATGGCAGAAAGTGATTCTTACTCGGAATCCTCTGTGTATTCCACGGCAAATGAAGGTGAAGAGTCACAAATAGACTGATCAGATAGTGAGGATGTATTTGAACAATCGTCTGTTGTTCAAGCATACTCTAATGAACCATTAGCAAGCACCAGTGACGAATGTTCAAGCGATTAGCAAAAAGACGATGAAGATGGGGCATTCCTTCAGCTACTATTGCCCAAAGAATATGACGGAATTATCCCAGTAAATTCATGGTAAGTCGCCTTGATTATTATTTAAATTGTCACTTTAGGCTTATATCAAAACGAAATTAAAATAATTCAAAATATTTTGGGGAATAATGCCTTTCTGAACTCTGAATCTGTTTATATTTTTTATATAAAACAAAAGGTGCCAATGGCGAAAGAAAGTTCTGGCAGAATAAACCGCAAGACCCATGTGTTTGAAAATCAGCAAAACTTTACTAATAGATCCACCAGCCATCAGCACCGCAAAGCTGAGCAAGATGTTTCCAGCTGGGTATCTTCTAAGGCCAAAGGCTGGCTGTGCCAATTGTAACTGTTACCACATATCTCGCACTCTTGATCCACTGTAGCCATTGTTCCATGCACTTTCACTGACACAGAAGGCAGATCTGATTTGCAATTAAAGCAGAACTTGGAAAACAAGGACATCAGCATTGTATAAATCACAATGAATTTAGGCTCATCCATCGGCAACACTCCTGGTTCAACCCTACAAATGATAACAGATGTATGTAATAGCTAAATATTAGGCTGTTGTAATATTTCTAAAAATGAAATGTTGCAGTGCTTTTCAGACTATTCATCATACTATACCTCACTTCTCGCTTCGATGGAACTGGTTCGTCATCTTCTGATGCATAAGCATCATACTCCCAATCAGGGTCATCATTGTGAACACATTGTTCATCCTAATTAGTATGATTATATAATGGATCATCCTAATTAGTATTCTTTTGTAGTCGTATTTTAAGCTATTCAAAACACTCGTTGTCGTGTTTTATCAGATATATAACGCTTGGCTGTGCCTCGCGTTTTATATCTGATAAAACACTCTTACTTGTGTTTTAAATAGTACATAAAACACAGATACTGTAAATGCATATTACATTTAAATCATATCTTGGTGATCATAATCTTGAAACATATATGCAACACAAGAGAACAGCACACAAACAATCAGATCATTATAAACATATTCACACATATATATTGAGATTTTATATTTACCATTCGGTTTTGACACTTTCAAACTGGTGTTGGTTTCAATTTATCCGTCTCCAGCGGAACAGCATCAAATGTTGGGAGAGAATCTGGCTTTAAATATCTCGCTTTTGGTCTGGGATGTTCTGGAACATCCAGAGAAAAGCTCTGCAGATAACAAGAGGGCTTGAAGTGCGCAGAACACACAACAGAGTATTGTGTGGGTGAGAAATTTATGTGGTGTCTTCTCACAAATTTTGTCCACAATCTTTGTTTGTCCGGTCTTGTTTTTTTCCGAAGGAAATTTATGCATAATTATTCCTGGTGTGTGTGTAGAAATTTTGCAACTAACACCACCAGGACCGCCACAAATACAGTATCTTCCACCTCGCTTTACAGGAGCTCTTTGTGATTCCGCCATACTTGCAAATATAAAACACTGTGATATGTCCATACCCCTACGTCACAGGTATAGTTTAAATAATATCAAACCAATTAACATGAAATTTTGCCAGGTTGTTTTATACACAGATCCTTCAATATATCGAAAATGTCATAGACACTTAACTTGAATACCAATGGATGTGGATGTTCTGATCTTGCTTGGGCAGTCAGTTGTCGTGGTTTCTGCTTGTCTTTCTATTTGAAGATAATGATTGATTGAAAAATATCTAGTTATACACGGTTTTTGACTGAAAGAGATACTATAATCATGCATGCAACATTCTACTGTATACCAACTTACTTTCAATGAGAACATCTACTTGAACACCAACTGAAGCGGTGCTGATTTTATTTAAACAGTCTGTCGACATTAATATAAAATTCCAGTGTAAAAATGAAAACAAGGATACAAGCACTTTCATTTGCCTCGTCGATTTAATTAATTCGACTTTCTGCATTCGTAGCTAGAAGGAAATATATACGACATGTTATACACTTTTTAATTCTCTTTTAACTATCCGATTTCCTCACATGTGGGTGAGGGGGGGGGGAGCTAAAAGAGCTATAAATACAGTAACTTGATATGTTTTGTATATTACCTTTATCCACAATGTCAAAAACTTCTTTATTGAATAGTGTCCTCCTTATCAGCACACATCCTTTCACCTTCAGTCCTTTCTTTGGAGAATAAAACTTTTGCTCACCAGCACGTTTTCCTATGTGAACCGAAAAAAGGTTAATTTACTAACTGCATGCGAATAAAAAAATTAATAGACATTTTAACATTCAACTGCATGCAAATACAAAATAAACAGACATTTAAAGTGCCTATGACACGAAATTTCACCCCAAATGTTTATGATTGCATTGTAAAGATCACTTAAAATGACTTAGCAATTTCTTTTATAGAATTTTCGTAACTTGCTTCCTTTGCAAGATATTCAACTTTGTTTCATATGCAAATATCACCGGTGTGACATCACATCGCATAATGACATTTTGAAAACGCAATATTTTACCTTGATAAAATATTTTTACAAACAAATACAGAGGATTAATTACCAGTCATGAAATCAATACATATACAAGGGCAAGTTTTAAGTTTTTTAGATACGTATTCGTCAAGAAAACTATACTTTTCTGAAAAGTCATTATGTGATGTGATGTCACACCGGTGATATTTGCATATGAAACAAAGTTGAATATCTTGAAAAGGGAGCAAGTTACCAAAATTCTATAAAAGAAATTATTAAGTCATTTAAGTGACCTTTACAATGCAACCATAAACCTTTGGGGTGAAATTTCGTGTCATAGGCACTTTAACATCCTGTAATAAAAGTGGCACACATATTAAATCATACTATAGAGTCGCGAATTTTATACCTAGTCCAAAATTCTTCTTTCTCTTTCCAGTCCACATTTCCAATTCCCATCCTCTCAACGCATTCCCTTAGTTTGCCAAGATGAATGGCAAGGGCAGATTTGTTGCGATTGTCTATATTTGCTTGCCTATCTGTACGCAGAAATTGTTTGACCTAAAAGTAATTTTCCAAGTATATATCTTAATATAGTTGGTAAAGCATATGCTGTTTCTGTCATCCCCGAAGATTGCCGCTGCAGTCTGTGTCATTCAATGAAGAAATCTTCAGATGACTCTAGCCACCTGAAATTTAGATGGTCTTCAGGTGATCTTAGGATATTAGGACCACATGCATGAAGACTCATTCATTCAATGAAACATGCATATGTATACTCACTTCGTGTTCCATCATTCCTTCGATAACCTTTTTTAAGGAACCTTCTATCCTTGAAAGAGTATTCTCTCCTATAGCTCCTGCATTTGAAGGTGCGCCCAAAGAGGAATTGTTGTTAACGGTTTGAGTTTCTAAGACATAGGGTGCCACTTCATTAAAATTTGCTCATCTTAAAATATAAAACAAATCGACAATTATAGGCTTTCAATTGCCATTGGCAAATTAGGCGCAAATTAGCACAGGCTACCGAACTATAATGCACTTCCCTCGCTCGTATGGATCCACTGGCCAATTTTTATAATCGTTCCAACAGTACTGGAAACTTGATAAATGATTTGGGAGAACCTCTTATTCCACCAAGACGATTCCCTTGCTTCATGTTTTTTTGTTGCTCTGTTTGGCATGTGAACCAGGACGATTTGGTCAAGCAACCTAAAATAAAAACCAAAGGCAAATTTTATATAAACCTTAAGTTCTTTCTGAAAGGTTGCATGCAATTGTACTTGAGCTAAACAGACTTTTAACCGATTTTGTTGTAAGTCGCTTCCGCATGACTCTTCATTTCATATATTAGAAAGCTACATGAAGAAAAACCCCAAATATATTCGAAAAGCTACTCACCGTTTAACCTATCTGGATGTGGTAAGTACCTCACTACATGAGCGTTAATGGTACAAATCGGTGCAGATTTAGATACTAACTCCTGTCTGTAGTTTCCACTTTTTCCATCACTGAAAAAGCGCTTTGCAGCTTTCCCGATTTCAGCAGGATTGGTTGGATCATCCGCTTGGAAACCCATGGTGGTTACTGATGATATGTTTCCCTTGTGGGCATCCGTAAAAAGGTTGTAAAACCTCTTAGGATAAGAGCCAGCTGTGGCTAATGCAACATTTCCTGCTTTAGTTTTGCCCATGCCTGCCTTTCCAACACCTATTAATGGGCACCATCCTTTCACCTTCTGCCACTTTAATATTAAAAAACAAAAGCCATGCAAAAGCCACTAACTTCATTTAGGAATTTTCAGGAATGAATAGAAGCAAATAAGTAAGGGCTATCACAGTATTAGTGACCCCGATCAATCGAGTTGTTTGTCAAAATTAATGGCCGAAACTAAAGGAAATATCTTTCTTTTATATAAAACGTTGATTGTTAAAGTGCCTATGACACGAAATTTCACCCCAAATGTTTATGATTGCATTGTAAAGAACACTTAAAATGACTTAATATTTTCTTTTATAGAATTTTGGTAACTTGCTTCCTTTGCAAGATATTCAACTTTGTTTCATATGCAAATATCACCGGTGTGACATCGCATAATGACATTTTGAAAACATAATATTTTACCTTGATAAAATATTTTTACAAACAAATACAGAGGGTTAATTAGCAGTTATGAAATTAATACATATACAAGGGCAATTTTTAAGTTTTTTGGATTACTTATTCGTCAAGAAAACTATACTTTTCTGAAAACTCATTATGTGATGTGATGTCACTCCGGTGATATTTACATATGAAACAAAGTTGAATATCTTGAAAAGGTTGCAAGTTCATATCATATATCATGGCGGACGAACAACAATCAACCAAGCGCTCTGCGCAAAATTAAAAAACTATCGACCTGTGTACGCCTATTAAACCAGTCAAATCGAAAATTAAGAAAATCAACGCATCAGAGAAAGGGACTGAGGAAAAAGAAGGAGAAAAAGACGTAGATATGAGGCAAATTCATCAAATGTTCACTACAATGATGACGAAATTGGAGAAGCTCGACGCTATTGAAGCAGACATGAAGGAAATCAAACATTCCTTAGAATTTGCGCACGCTGAAATTGCCGATTTAAAAAAAGAAAACGATACCAGCAAAGCAAACCAAGCAGAAGCAAAGGAAAAGATTGAAAAGCTTGAGCAAGACAACACCACGTTGCGCAACAAAATAGTAGACCTTCAAGCAAGATCAATGCGCGACAATTTACTATTTTTTAACATCCCAGAATGTGACCAAGAAAACACAACTGAAATGATTCATGAGTTGTTAGAAACGAAGATGGAAATACATGACGCGCGGAATAAAGTAAAGATCGATCGGTCCCATCGGATTGGGAGAAAACGAGAAAGAAACCAAAAACTGCGTCCGATCGTGGTCAAGTTTAACTATCATCAAGACCGAGAGTACGTGCGGTTAAACACGAAGAAACTTAAGGGGACAAAGATCGGAGTATCAGAACAGTTCCCAGAAGAAATTTAGAGCATAAGAAAAACATTGTATCCGGAACTAAAGAAAGCCAGAGCAGAAGGTAAAAGGGCCAGAATAGTAAGAGACAAATTGATCATTGAAGGGCAAGTCTTTCATAATAATAGGTCTTGACAATCTGTAACCTGAGTCCTCTATATATTTTACTGACTAAACACAGTTCATACTTTATAGTTAATTTCTTAATTCAAATATTGCACTATAAACCTTTCCAATGACCACACTTAACAATGAGCGCAAGAAGAAATGTTCTTCTTGCTTCAAAACTATTCAAAAAACACAAAAATCAATTGAATGTCTCACATGTATGAATCGGTTTCATGCTGTGTCTGCATGCACAAAATCATTCAACTCCTACATAGGTAACAATACGATTGACTTGTGCCAAAATTGCTTAGCTGAATCTTTACCCTTCCAAACACTCGATGATTTAGAATTTGAATTTACGGTTTTAAAAGGAACAAGACGCCTGCTCAGGCGTTCACACTGGCCTGAAAATAATGAGATACGTGCTATGGTGCAAAAGGCAGGAATACAAATCTTAAAGCGCAACTGCAAATTTTACGGACTTTTTAAAAAAATAAAAGACCTTTTCGGGAGACGTAATGGAGATCGATGCACGTGCGAATCATGCCGACCTACAGAATCGATTTCCGGTTTCTCCTAACACCGCGTTGTTTTCATGTGCGTTCCATGGGCCGCGCTAAAAATATAAATATTCTGTAAATACCGAAATAAAAGATGAAAATCTCAAGACACAAGCTTGAAAATAACACTATAAATAGTGTTTTCGATTCTGGTTCCAATAACATTATCACGAAAAAGATATGTCCAAAGGGGCCGAAGTTATGTTCGGCAAAATGTATGGCTAGTTTACATTGTTTGTTGTATTATGAAATATGATACCATACTTGTATTAAAATTCGCGTCGAACTAATGTTATTGTAAATGAGTAGACTTGCCACAAGTCGACGTCGAACGAAATGCGTTTCTTCGAGGTCGACTTGTGGCAAGTCTAGCAAATGAGAACCATACAAATGTACAATAATGATTCTAGTTCTTGTTGGCATTTTGAACGCATGCTTTATCTTTAGTATAGCTATCACAAAGCTTTTCGCGCGGATTATATTTCGTGGAGTACTAAGTATTATATTTTGTGGTTTTCGAGTCATTACATTCGGAGTCATTGCACAAAGAAAAACACATTAATTCAACACGCAAGAAAGTCCAAACGTAAAATACAAAGGAAACCGGCACAATTCTTTGAAAATTCAACGAAACTGTGTAAAATATAGTTTGATCACTCTGTGAAAAGCCGCCATTGCAGTTCGGAATTGTGCGCGTGCGTACAAGTGTATAGGCTAATAAACGAAAAATGTACCACAAGCATGGCATGAGTCGGCTATTACGTACATATATACCAGCTTATTACTATACTATCTAAATCACGGAACCGAGGGAATCCATGGCATTTTGGCTTAATCGTTGCACCCTGAGCCTGCGATTAGCTAACGCAAACTCGATTTCTCGACTACGAAAAAAACAGAAAAAGGGGGATTTAAGACACTTGGCCTTACAGGCCAGTGTAATTAATGTGAGGAAAGATGAAATGGATAGACTAAGGCATTTGAAATTCAACCCTTTCGACACGAATAATAATATTGCGTTATCGGAAAACAATGCAAATCTCGATAAATCGTCAAAAATAAACTGTGAATATTATCTACCAACTGATTTTAAAGAACAAATAAATGAAACAAACCAAAATAATAACTTTTCAATGATACACTTAAATATTAGAAGCATGATTAACAAATTTGACTCTTTTAAAGAATTAATATATTCATTAAATAAACCGTTTCAAATAATAGGTTTAACTGAAACGTGGCTAAATGAAACTAACGAAGATCGCTTTAAATTCCAAAATTATGATTTTGTAAATGTAAACAGGTCAACTAAAAGTGGAGGAGGAGTAGGTATTTATATCGCAAATGAACTAAACTATAAAATACGCACTGATCTAAACACAAGTATTGAGAATGTAATTGAATCTGTCTTTGTCGAAATTATAACAACTGTAGGTAAAAACATCATAATAGGTGTAATATATAGGCCACCAAATAATCATTTTGACTCATTCGAAACTGAAATGAATCAAATATTAGGACAAATAGACAAAGAAAACAAATTATGCTATCTAATGGGGGATTTTAATATTGATCTATTGAAATCAGAATCTTGTGATTATACCATCAGATTTCTTGAACAACTATTCACCTCATCATATGTCCCACTTGTGCTCAGGCCAACAAGAATCACTCAGCATACCGCTACATTAATTAACAATATTTTCACCAATGATATAGAAAATATAGAATCAAGCTCAAATGGTTTAATTTTTAGCGATATCTCGGATCATTTGCCGATATTTCATATACGAAACTCGAAAACGTATCATGAAAAAATTCAAAAAAATGAATTTACCTGTAAAAGGATTATCAATGATGCCAATATTCAATCGTTTACAAACACAATCAAAGATGTATCATGGGATAATGTACTTTCTAAAAACAACACGGCAGAGTCCTACAATGAATTCTTTAACTTACTTTCAATAGCCTATGAAAAAAACTTTCCATTAAGAAGAAAAGTAGTAAAAAGAAATATTGACAAAACCCGAAGCCCATGGATGACAAAATGTATTGCAAAATCAGTTAAGCAAAAGAACAAGTTATATAAAAAATACCTTCAATGCCCTACAGAAAAAAAGGAAAAAATATACAAACAATATAAAAATAAACTAAATCATATAATAAGAGCAGCAAAAAAGAAACATTACGAAGAACAGTTAATAAAATATAAACATGATACAAAGGTACTATGGAAAACATTAAATGAAATTATGAATCGAAATAAAACAAGTAGTATGTTACCAATGGAATTTATTGGAAATAGTCCTGGAGAAAAAATTACCGACCAAAATCAATAGCAAATAGATTCAATGATTATTTTGTAAATATTGGCCCAGGACTTGCGAAAAAACTTTCAAATAGCACAACCAATTTTGATAAATATCTCACTAATAGCTGTAAAGGAAGCTTCTTTATTAATCCAATAACTAAAGATGAATTAGAAAATGAAATAAATAATTTGAATTCCAAAAAAGCCCTGGATATGATGGTATAAGCTCACAGGTAATCAAAGCGATTGCTCCAGAAATTTCTGAACCACTTTCACACATATTTAACTTGACTTTTCTTTCTGGAACTATTCCTGATGATCTAAAAATAGCTCTAGTTACCCCTATTTTCAAAGCAAACGAAAACAATGAATTTAAGAATTATCGGCCTATATCTGTTCTCACTTGTTTTTCTAAATTATTGGAAAAGCTTATGTATAAGAGGTTAATTAGCCACATAGAAAAAAATAAAATATTAACACAAAATCAGTATGGTTTTAGGGAAAATAGATCTACTGAACTTGCAATCATTGAACTTGTTGACAAAATCACCCAAGCAATCGATGAAGGAGAATACACAATAGGTATCTTCCTCGACTTGTCAAAAGCCTTTGACACAATTAATCACAAGATTCTGATTCAAAAACTAGAACACTATGGTATACGTGGAATAACAAGACAGTGGTTTGAAGATTACTTAAAAAACAGAAAACAGATTGTTAAATATAACCAAGTTAAATCAAAAGCAATGATAATTAAAAGTGGTGTCCCACAGGGATCAATTCTTGGACCAATTTTATTTCTTCTCTATATCAATGATATTGAAAATTGTAGCAAATTAATTTCATTTATATTATTTGCAGATGACACTAATATATTCTATAGTAACAAGTGTCTAAAAACACTTAATAAGATTATGCAAATTGAAATTGATAAAGTTGCTGAATGGTTAAATGCGAATAAGTTATCTCTAAATACTACAAAAACAAAAGTAATATTCCGATCTTCAAATAAAAAACCAAAGCAAGACATTAAAATTAACATTAATGGTAAAAATATTGAACAAGTTAAAAATACAGTATTCCTTGGTATTGTCATTGACGAATGTTTGACCTGGAAAGATCATATAGCTAAGGTAGCAAAGAAATTAATTAGAGCTGCTGGTATAATAGCTAAAATACGACATTTCGTGAACCGAAATACTGTAAAACTGATATACTATGCATTAGTCTATCCATACTTGATTTACGGCAACCTAACATGGGGTAATACTTACAAAAACAGAATTCAAAAAATAATGAATATACAAAAAAAATAGTGCGTTTAATGGCATTCAAATCTTACTTTGATCACAGTGAACCAATTTTCAAAGATTTAAATATCCTCAACATCTTCAAAATCAACGACTATTTAACTGCTTTATTTATGTTTCGATACCACCATCTTAATAATTTACCAGAATTTTTTAAAGATTATTTTGTGACAAACAACCAAATTCATCAATATAACACGAGAAATGCATCAAAACTTCACAAATGTTATAAAAGAACAAAGTATGTAGAACACACTCTCTCAAATAAAGGAGTTGACGTATGGAATTCATTAGAAACAAAATTTATAGATATAAATTTCTACAGCACCTTCAAAAAGCAAATTAAACAATATTTTTTACTATACAATGTATAAGATATGCTATAAAACATTCTGCTATATGACAAATTTAATAGTATATTGTAGTCTAATTCTTATAAGAACCCAAATGTATCTACAACATTGGTATTCACTTCTATAATAAGAACAATTTCTCTTCTTTTTCTCTCTTGTAAATATATATATATATATTCCTTTAATATTGTGATTGACTGTAAATAATTTATTACATAGCACAATACAAACTAGCATAACTAGAGACCTAAATAAAAAGTCTACTAAGATTTCTAGTAGGTCTCTAGCCCGCACTCTACAATTATTGTAAATATACTACACATAAATTTATTGTACATGGGGAAAATTTTTAAAAATAAAAAAAAAATTTAAAAAAAAAGTTACCAAAATTCTATAAAAGAAATTATTAACTCATTAAGCGGCAATGCGCCCGAATGCGCCCTGAGATTGGCAAGGGGGTAAGCGGCAATGCGCCTGAATGCGCCCTAACATGACTCCTTAACTTGCGGGCATGATATTTGAACACATGTTTATCGGGTTACCTAGCAACGGATATGAAAATAGAACGTGAAATTCGAGCTTTTCAACGGTGTATCATGCAAGAAAATCGGCCAAAAACTCGCAAAGTTTTTCAAGTTTAAAACCTTAGTTTTTCAAAAATAATGAACAATGGCGACACTGTTGCAAAGAATGGTTTTACAGCAAGTTTTAAAAGCGAAGAAAGAAGAGGCTTTTGAATCACCTACAACGAAAATTTGGCATGAAAGGAAAGCGAATGTATTGACGTTTTGGGGCCAAGTTCTTCTGTGAACCATCCGCGAGATTTTCAGCCAAAAAGATGAGGATTTCTCCAAACTTTATTAAAAATAGAAGTCGGAAATTACAAGAAAGATGAACACGGAACATAAGTGAGCAGATACAATATTTTTAAGGGTATTTTTGAGTAGAAATATGCAATCAAACACTCACAAAATTCGACCGCATTAAAGTTGGTTGAATCTAGTTTAAAGTTATCTTTTTAGACGAACTGTTTATGCAAATTTGGGCACAATTTCGACTGTTTTCGTGACCCCATTGTTGGTCTTCTTGTTCAAGTTGCTATTTTAGCTAAAGTATGTTTCAAACGACACCAGATTAAATTACTGTGTGCGTACGTGCCCTTTTTGGCAAGAATACTTCGAGTATTAAATTACACTAAGTAAGTAGGATACTCCAAAATCACTGTTATACCTATTTTCATTAATTTAGTCTTAAAACGACAACTCGTTTCAGACATATTGTGGTTTAAAATAAGCGTATTGAATTAGTGCGCTTGCTTGTCGCGTGCGAATTTTCAAAAAGTCTGCACTTGAGTTCTAAAGCTTTTAAAACGCTTTTTCTATTGGGTTTTATATCCCCATAAAACTTTAAATCGATAAAGCAGATAATAATGTTGATGCAACCTCATTTTCTAGTAACTACACGTTGAATCAGAAAGAAAAGTTATCAAAAATAGGTCGCGACCGTTGCTTGCAAAATGCCGCTTCTCTCTGAAATGGCTTCCTTTGCGGGAAGCCATGAAATTGAAGTCCTAACAAAAACATAGTTTAGCAGTTCTTTTGGGCCCATAGCTCACTTATTTATCATGAAATCGCTTCACTAGAACATTTTAATAATGTCTATGGGAAACTTTGTTATTTTCTGAACTAAAAGTTTATGGTTTTGAGGTGTTTATTTTATAAAATAGCACGCGCGACAAAATGGCACTAATGTGGTTTCTCATGTCTGACAAACAACCAAAGATGAAAGTCCTTATTTCACCCTTTTATAGCTATGTTGAATACCTGAATATTAGGTTATCTTTTTCATTTGAGCATACAGATAACATTTCCACACAATTAGTCCTTATGAAAGCTTATTTCAAACTAAAAAAAGCGAATTGTTTTTTAGAGCCAGACTTCAAAAGAAAACGCGTGTCTGACATTTTATAGCAGCCTACATTGGCGCGCAAAATAATTTTGGCTAAAAACCGTTTCTTTCCAAACAGAAACATGAGAAAATTGAGCTAAAAGGCTTACCTGATGTATGTTTAAAATGTTTTTCGCCTAAACTAATCAATATTTGCTTGTGAGATCTTGAATAGTTGCTTGTTTGCTCTCAAAAGATCACAATTTTGCATCGTCGTGCTAGACCAGTGATTGTGGTCCGTGGTGATAACATGTGCATCATCTACCCACATTTTAGCAAACGAAATGCTAGCCTTGCAGGTACAGGCTGTAGCGACAGCATGTGCGCCATCTTCTTGCCTTCCCATTTTATATACAACTCCCTGGCGAGTAAAGGGATTGTCAGAGATTTCAAATGTACTGTCCATATCTTATTATAAAGTTGCTAATGCAAATGAAGTTTTAAAATATGCAAAATTGGTTGTTAGTGAAACAATTTCAATAAACGAAGACATTGCATTCCATTCCATCTGTCTGCTAGCATCGACACTGTGTTAAAAAAAGTTACATCAAATCTTCCAAAGCTGTCAGCGGATGACATAAAAAAAGCTCAAAATGAAATTACAACGAATGAGATCATGTGTAATAGCTTTTTAAGTGTCGAGACCTCTGCCTACTACAGTTGCACGACATGCAACAGAAAAGTTCAGTTCCAACAAGATTCGGTGATGTTAAAATGCAGCCACTGCTCAGGGAAATTCCTCATGAAAAACAGCAAGAAAACCCTGACAGCTAGAGTATCATTAAAGAAAGAGGATAGCATCACTTAATGTTCACTTTTTACACCCATACTTGACTTTTTTCTTCAAAAATATAACAAGAAATACCAAAAGAATGAAGTTCTTGAAAACATTGACGAAGACAAACCTTTGGATACAAGAATGATCTGGCTTAGTTTGTCTTCGTCAATGTTTTCAAGAACTTCATTCTTTTGGTATTTCTTGTTATATTTTTGAACAAAAACGTCAAGTACGGATGTAAAAAGTGAATACCAAGTGATGCTATCCTCTTTCTTTACATTATGTGTAAACAAGAACAATAATACAGTAAGCAGTGTTACATTTGTGTAGGCTAATATATTATAATAATAGCACATGCATGCAGACATTTGATATTTTCATAAAATTAGACAGACAGTTGATGGTTCGCCATAAACAGTTCATATTCTGATTGACGTTGGTAATAGACAAACATATTTGAGGTTTCCATATAAACTGTTCATATTTTTGTGCTATTTAAATGTAAAAGTTTGTTACACAGAGTACATTTGCATGATATTTCCATAAACTGTTTATATTCTGGTTGAATAAAGGGCATGCAAAATATAAACATGAAAGTTTCATGTGCAAAACAATTTAATTGATAGCACACCCAGCAAAGTTATGGCTGTCAAACAAAAAGTTTTGTTTGATTGATAAACTCCGGCAGAAGAAAGTTTGGAAACCTAGTTATAAATGCACGCTTCATGGAAGCTCGAAAATCGTAGACAGTACATTTGTGTAATATATTATAATAATAGCACATGCATGCAGACGTTTAATATTTTCATAAAATTAGACAGACATTTGATGTTTCCATAAACAGTTCATGTTCTGATTGATATTGGAAATATATGAGGTTTATCATCTCATCTATTGTCTTACTTGCATTCGACGCGACCAAAATTCGAAGTATAAAACAGGCCTTATAGGGATTTACCTATACAGGCCTTTGAAATACAAGCGACACATTGTATTGTTGACAAATCGATAATAAAAAATTCAGTAGCCTATGTTTGATCCTTATTGAAGCTTTCGTATCGTTATAGTTTTCGCTCACTTTTCTCTTCATTTTGATATTATTCTGAGCTAGGCCAAAATATTTTATTTTGAAGGTTTTTGAAAGTTTTACTGTAAAGCGAAGTTTTGCAATATTATAATCCTGGCTGCACGACCAACTGCCGGGCGACAGCAGACAGCAGAATTTTTATTCGTACACTACTGCATTTTAGTACTGACCACTGCATATGTTTTATATGTGTTGGTTGGACAATAAATTTTATCAGCTAAATCATTGATAACAGCATTACTTGTAACGCTGAAAGGTTTACCCTACTAAAATAAAGTTTTTCATACTCAATGAAATAAGGATACAGCCTGTATCATATCATATATTATAAAAACATATTAACATTCATTAGGCCTTATTGAACCATCCATGCCATATCAATGTACTTGTTTTTATATATAGTAAATCGAAATCCGCAATATGTATAGTCGAAACAGCTTTATCTTCGTAGAAACATGCCCATAATTTTTGGGCAATCCATACTACATATCTTGCTTTTTGGGCAATATGAAA